TCCTGTAGCACTGAATTTACAAATAAAGAGATCCACAATTCTCCTTAGACTTCTCTTCTCTTCTGGCAACATATCCTTATTCCTTTAAATATTCCCTCTGACATAGTTCCAGACCTTTCTATATTCTAGAAACTCCCCTTTGTTGGAGTTTGTGTCCTGCTTAAAATGCAGTTACCAAAATTGACTTACTCCTTCTGTGACCTGATACATAAACAATAGACAGGGACCATGTCGACAAGCTCTCCTATCCTACTGTCCCAGGCACAGTACTCCCCTTATCTCTGTGTCTTTCTGTCTTCCTCACTCCCCACTCTCATACTTTAGTGACTGATTTTCCAAACCAAAGCATGACATTTTATATTCAACCCAATAAATATAATCTTCTTAATTCCAGCCTGTTTAAAGCTTCAGAAAACTAATTTCCTTATCCTACATATTAACTACTCCTCAGAATTCTAAGCATCAGGTAACGTCAAACTTTTTTTTTATCCCTTATCATCATCCACTGACTGACAGACGCTTAGAAATCTCACTTCAGGTTGACACTAATCATTCAGGGATGGCCCTCTGAACTATCACTTACCCACATAAAGATACCAATATCCAAACCATATTTCCACATTTTGCCTTCATGAAGGACCTTGTCAGATGGCTCAATAAAGGCCAGATATATTACATCTACTCCTCTTTCCTTATCTACCAGCCTGGCTACACTGTTCAAAGAAGGAAATGAGCTTAGTTTAATCAGCTTCATTTTTAGCATACTCATGCTGGCTTGTAGAGACCGCTACCATATGCCTGTCGTTTGTCATAAGAGACTTCCACAGGAAAAATGTTAACAATTTGGAGTGGTGAAATATTGTTAGAGTTAATAGAATACTCTACTGAAAAAAGGTTAACTAAAACAAATTTGTGTATTATCACATCTGTAAATATTCTCCTAAAATATACCAGCTCATATTCCTGCCTTCATCTCTCCTTAGTGAGGTACTGCCTGGGATCTTCATTCTCAGCATCGATTCTAATGAACAGTCCTGTAGATATAGGAAGAATGAAAATGGGTGAAATCTGCACCAATCTAAGATAACTTTGTGTGTGTTTTTAAATTCCTGTTATAACCTACAGTTGGATTATCTATCTCTTTTTCATGAAAAAAAAAACAGAAAAATTGATGTAACAGTGTATGGCTTCCATTAATAGTATCAACTCTTTAAAGAATTCATCAATATTCCTTATTGCATAAAACATTTTTGATCAAGACAATACAAAGACAAAAGATTGGTAGATTTTTAAATCTATCATTCTGAGAAAAGCCTTTGAAACTTAACACACTTCCAAACAAATTTATGTGAATATATTTTTACACTGAGAAGTGATCCTGTCATAATGTGGATAATAGGGGTACAGAAAAAGAGTTCACCATAACTCCATCATCTAAAAAATTATGAACATCATTGTTTTTATATTTCTGTCTGATTTTTGAGGTTAAGGATAATTGGGCCGGAGGGTATAAGTGTTTTTTATGACTCTTGGTAGATATTGCCAAAATCCTCTCCAAAAAGGGTACGTTAATTTGCGCAATGCTACTAGCATATTAATTATTTATCTACCTCTGCTTCCCTCTTGGCCCCTTACTCCTTAATCCAAGGCTCTACGTCTTGGTGTTAATATAATTTCTACACCTAGTTTGTAAAACCAGTTTCCTAAGCAACCTCCTTTAGATTACATGCATTTCAGTAGAAATACATATATACATTTAAGTTGATGTGTCAAAATGATTTTCAATTGCCATCACATACTAATCAGAAATTAGCTACTTCATCTTACATTATATAATTTTTAAAAAATAATGTGATAAATTAACTCCATTGCACTGGCTTTTGGAGTTAGAAAGTTGAAGTTATCCACATTTGGGTACCTTTGAAAATAATCTACTAATACTCTATCTTCCATGTCTTTTCTTCTCTTTTAGGCTTTTCAACTATTGGTTATTGTTATGCTGTACATAAATTGTTTAAATTTATTTTGTATTTCATTAAGGCAAACATATAATCCACTTAAAATGCTACAGAATATAAATGTTCCATAATATTTATTCCATTCTATTGTTTCTTAGTATTCATAACATTAATGTTTTAATTATCTAAGTAATACATGATACATGTTCATTCTGAAATTTCAAATAAAAAAGTTTATTTATAGCATACAATCAAAGTCTCAATTCATCATAACCCTAACCCATAATTCCATGCCAACTCCATATACATATAAAATCATACAGAATTTTTTTACTGAATTTACATATCTAAGATACAGACATATATGTTTTAATTTTACATAAATGGGATCATTATACACAAAGTGTTCTAACATGTGTATTCCCTTAACAATATGTCTTAGAAACTTACATACTTTGGAACTTACAGATTTATATCAATCTTTTTAATAAGTACATAGTTTTCCATAGTATAGATTTAGCATAATTTATTTAATCATTCACTTTATTTATGCTTTTTCATTACTCCAAATAATCCTCTACAAACATATGTGAATGTGTATCTTTTGGCACATATGTAAATATTTCTATAGGATAGGTTCCAAAAAATAAATTGTTTGGATTGAAGATAATATGAATTAAAATTTTAAAACAACAGAACATATATATTCTACATATATATATTCTATGTATATTCTACAAGTATATATATTTTTGGTTTAACTTGCTTATCTTTTTCTAGTTTCCTAAGGTAGAAGCTTATTAAATCATTGATTTGAGAACTTTCTCCTTTCCTAATATAAGCACACAATGCTACAAATTTCCCCCAAATGACTGCTTTTTCTACATTCCATGAGTTTTGATGTTATGTTTTTATTTTCATTCAGTTCAAATATTTTGTTATTTCTTTGTGGCACGTAACCTTCATACTCACTATATAATAAAGTAATTTTAAAGTACTACCAAGCAAGAATTATAAAAAGTGAATATCTTTTACGCATATAGTTGTTTTATTACTATTAAAAACCTTTTAATCAAAGTGTTTAAATCTTTCTCAAGGTATCAGAGAAACATCATATAGACAGATAGCTTGGAAAAGGGAAAAGAATACCAGATGAATCAGAAATTGAACTCTCCTTAAGACTTTAAACTATTTCGTTTATGACCTTGAGCAAGTAATTTCACCACCTAGGATTAATAATATAGAGTCATATAAGCCAAAAGTCGTTTAAAAAATAAAACACATACATGTACAACCAACTAAAGGTGATGTCTTCGTTGATGATTAAATTAAGGACATTGAAATTCCTACCTTCTAATATACAGACAACAGACATCTATTCATCAAAACTCAACTCAACAATGAATGTACTTCTATTATGAACTCAATCATAGAAACACAATGCAACAGAAGTTGAATAAATATAATGGAAAGTTCTTGCTGTCTTGTAAACTGTATGCCTTTCTGTATAAAAATAGCTCTATGTGATACATTCTCATACAAGAGCTAAGTGTACAAAATAATCAGATGATAAATGCTATAATTTTAGGAAAAGAAAAAATTGGCATGGGCTAAAAAGGTCACGTAACATTTGATGGAAGTGCTGCAACAAGAGGTAAGTCTTAAGGATGGGCATGATTTGCCGAGATGGAATACAGCAGGACAGTTCAGATAATGAAAACAAAGAACCAATTTGCCAACTTTTTTCTTTATAACCATTTTCCCTTACTCCATCCCTATGAAAGCAACTTACATAAGTATTTCTAGAAACATTTTAAGATTAAAACAACAACAAAACCACATTCCTACGGACACATGTCGGATCAGACTTCCTTCTCACTAAATTCAAGTGGGTCACTAATTGTTATCAATTGGGGGAAGAAATAAAATTCAGTAATCACAAGGGATTAATGAATTTTTGATTTAGTACCTGCTTAATAGGGGATTAAAATGTGATAATAAAAAAATTATTCAGGTTTCAGGATTTATGAGGTTTAACTATTGTCTTCAGAAAAATTTTTCGTAACCTGAGTGACTAAACTATTATAATAAATGTTTTCCTAAATGTGAAGGAAACAAGGCAAGCAAATTAGACAAAGTAAAAATTAATAGCCACCTTAAATATTCTGGGAATAAACAGGAATATATTTCTTTCAAAGAAGAAAAATAAACCCTTTCTTATTACTAAGTAAGAGGCAGAGCACTGAGGGCAAAATCTAAACTCATTATGTCCCAGTCCTAACCTATCTACCCCCTCATCTCCTACAGCTGGAACCTTTCTCCCTATATTCCAGGTAACCAAGTCTTCACCATCATATTTGTTCCTTAAACACTCCCAGCTTGCTCTCTTCTTGGGGTCTTTGAACTTGCTATTCCCTCAGACTGGAATACTGTTCCTCCAGGGTCTCACAGATGGCTCCTTCCTAGTTTTTAGGACTCTGAGGACAAATGTCAGGACTTCCCTGACCACCTACCCAAAGTTGGTAATCCCCTTCCCACCCTCAAAGGGCAAAGTCTATAAATGCTATCTCTTTCCTTCTTCATAAATCACTCTTCAAAATTACTTCAAATGAAATTTTTGCACTGACTGCCCACAAAAACATAAGCTCCATGAGAGAAGGAACCTTGTTCTCTCCATCACTGTTCTCCCCAGTGTCCATAACAGTACCTGGCACACAGTAGGTATTCAACGCTATTTCTTGAACAAATGAATAAGTCAAACTGTGCTCTGATAGGAAAAGAAGAACTCAAGAATCACAATAAATGTTTCAATTAAACATTCAGATTAACAAACTATCAAAACAGACTTCAGTGAAGTGTTCGAATTCTCCATTTCTGGATTTTATTGAAACAAATATGACTTTAAATATTTCAAATATATTGAGAGTGACATTTCCTAGTAATATTTTCACTATGCAGATATTTTGTGATATAGAGATATTTAAAAGATGGATTATATATGTATTCAAAAATTAAATGGCAGCATCAAAATGAAAGACCAACCTGCTGTTCGTATCGCTGTTTGACATCCTCCAGTTGCCATAAAAACTCCTTTGATTGTTTCTCACGAAGGGACTTAGATCTAGTTAGATCTGCTTCTACTTTTTCCATCTACAAAATTTAAAAGTCAAATATTAAATGTGTAAACAAAAAATTGTGTTCCATGTTTTTGTAATTTGTCCATTCATTAAAAATGACAGATTTTAAACACCTCACCAACAATAAGGATGAATTTAAAGATGATAAAATAATGAAACATACATCAATTATTTTAATACATTTTAATAATTTAAGGACAAAAATTAAAATTGGTATATAATTGACTAAATTCTAATATTATACTATCAATGTAGTAGAAATTTAGCCATAATTTTGGACATTCAAATATTTATTCAATAAGATTTTATTAAGCTCTTGGTATGTGCTAAATGAGAGAAAATTTTCTAGATCCTATCTCTGATAAGAGACTTATATCTAAAATATATAAAGAATTGTTACAGCCGAATTATAAATGGGCAATTAAACTCAATTTTAAAATGGGGAAATGATCTGAATAGACATTTCTCCAAAAAAGATATACAAATGTCCAAGAAGCATATGAAAAGACGGTCAGCATCATCACCATTAGGCAACTGCAAATTAAAACAAGAATGACATACTACTTCAAGCCCTCTAGAATAGCTATAATCAAAAAGATAGATAATAACAGATATTGGTGAAGATGCAGAAAAATCAGAATCTTCAATATCTCTGGTGGGACTATAAAATAGTGTAGACACCCTGGAAGACATTCTGGCAATTCCTCAATAGGTTAAACACAGAGTTCCATATAACCCAGGAATTCCACTCCTAGGTATGAAATGAAAACATACATACATACAAAAACTTTATGCAAATGTTCATAGTAGCATTGTTCATAACAGCCAAAAATAGGAAACTATCCAAATGTCCATCAGTTGATGAAAGGGTAAACGAAATGTGGTATATTCATACAATGGAATATTAGCCATAGAAAGGAATGAAGTACTAATACGTGTTACAACATAGGTGAACCTTGAAAGCATTACGCTGTCACCAAAGACCACATATTGTATGGTTCCATTTATATTAAATTTCCAGAATAGGCAAATCCACAGATACAGAAAATAGATTAGTGGTTGTCCAGGGTGAGATGAGGATCAGGGAGGGTGACTGCTAAAGGGTAGGACATTTCTTTTGGGGGAGATGAAAATTTTTGAAAATTGACTGTGGTGATGTTTGCACAACTTTGTGAATACATTAAAAAACACTGAATTGTATACTTACAAGTGAATCATCAGTATATGAATTTTATCTCAGCTAAGCTATTATTTAAAAAAAGGTAAAAACCAAAGACTTCACCAACCTCTATGAGGCCTCATATAATCCAACCCCGGTGAATTCTCTTAGCTCATCTCTACTACTCTATTCCACTACCACCATCACTCCAGCCCACATGCCTCCTTACTGGGATTTCAACATGCCAGAAACGCTCTCACCTAAGGATCTAGAAGCATCTACCCAATATTCACAAGGCTTCCTTCTCAAAGTCTTGAGGTTTTAACTGTCATCTTTGTACTGAGGCCTCCCAGACCGTGATTATTTTAAATTTTAAATTGCAGTCTCCACGTTCCCAAGTCCACCTAGTCTCCCCTTCCCTGCTTTGCTGCTCTTCTCTTACATAGGACATAGCACCTTCAGGTTCTCTATATAAATTACATCTTCATTGCACTGTTTTTAATGTCTGTCTTCTCCATTATAACATAACCGTGTGTGAACTGATGTGTCAGTGAAATGGTATCAATCATTTATCATGGTGCCTGGTACATATGGGGACTCAATAAATACCAATCAAATGATATGTAACCTAAACATTTGTACCCCTGTAATATTCTGAAAAAAAAAAAAAAGGCACAGTGTACTCAACTTGGCTCAAAACTTGCTGAATGTACAATTTTCAACATTTAGTGCCAAATTTTTTAAAACACATATAAATTAAATAAAATATTGTTGGATCTAACTTTTTCTATCACTTTGTGCTCTTATCAGGTACTCTTTTATATGTGCCAGGAAAGAGATATTCTCAAAATCAATAATGAAAATACTTTCCATGTCAATAACATGAAAATGACACCTTTTATTCAAAGTAGTACAGTAATTCATTTGTCTTTCTACCCCTGTACATTTGGGTATAATTTAGGAAAGTATTTTTATCAGAGGAAATTTTCAGTTAATGTGATAATCATTCTATCACAGGCTACTTTAAATCAGTTATTATTCTGTCTCACTGGTATATTGAGCTA